CTTTGCCTTGCCCCCACTGTTGGGTCACCTCTCCATACTGTCCCCCATATCCTGCCCTGTATTTCCCCTTCCCCGAAGGAACCCCCTCTTTGAACCAATTCCAGCCCTCCACATGCCATCGTCTGCATCCTCAACTCTTCATTCAAACCTTCCACCTGCCTCCCCACCTTACGTTCTCCCTCAGAGCCACAACTCTACAGCCCTCTGTGCAGAAGGCAGTTCAGGCCCACACAGCCCCTGGGTCTCAGGATAGAGTAGTGGAGCTCTATCTCTTGCTCCTTGATGCCTCTGCTCCTCCACCTTTTTGTCAAACCTCCTGCCTCCCCTCGACCTCTCTTCCCTGCAACCACCAGGAACATCCTCGGCCATCCCCCTTTGTTCTATGAAGCCGGCCCCCGCTCATCACCCCATACTGATGGCCAGTCCAGGTGGGTGTCTCACGTGGGCGCCAACCCAGCCCACTGTGGAACCACAGGCAGCTGTTAGGGCAAGGGTGGGGACCGTGGCTGGGGGGTGGGGGACGGAGACTCAGATCTCTGGGGAAGCTGCAGAGAAGTGGCCTCTAACTCACTGTGGCCCCTGCAGAATTATGCTGGAGGACCTATACAAGGTGAGTTATTTTGAGAGAATTCTCTGTGCTCTGAAGCAGAGGAGATTTTGCCACCTTCTCAAACGATTTCAGTAGGTCTGGAAAACAAAACCATGCACGACACAACGCTGGAGACACTGTGGGTACAGTTGCCGTTTCCAGCATAGACTGGTGGGATCATCGCAGCGTGAAATTGCAATAAATAGGCCCCGTCATGTTGCCGAAGCCAGCGCAAGCTCACGCACGGGCTGCTTCCTTCTTCAGAGCAGGTCTCCGCCTTGCAGGGGGCGCACAGAAGCTGAGATCCGGGGGCGTGCCCTTTCCCCAGGGACCACTGACGGCAATGGCAGCCCCCCTCCCCCGCGCCTCAAGCCAGGTCCCCGCACCTGACGACGGCACGTTGGGTGGCCAAGACTGTGCAGAACAGACTCCGAAGCCTTCCTGGAGGGCACAGCCTCTACCCCCGCTGCCTCTCCATCTCCTGCCTTCGCTGCTTCCCGAGCAAAGTCACCAGATCATCTCGAAATGTGAACTGTCCCGGAGTCAGGGAGCCCTGATGCCCCGCTGTGTTTCTTTCCCTGTGGGTCTTACAGACTTTCCCTGATAGCCCCTCCAGAGACGGAGATCCCATGCTGCAGAGCAAGGCCTGGGCTGTTGCCCGTGGGGGCTTTTCTATTCAGCTCTGCGGTGGGCACACGTTGAAACCTGCTGAGATCAGGCCGTGGCTGTCCGTGAAGGATGCCCGACCTGGGAGCCAGGGAAGGGCCTGCATACCTCACCGGGAGCACGCGGGCAGCTGGGCCCTCTGTCTCTGTCCCACCCAGCCAGTACCAAGCACCCACTCATTGCTGGGGCCTATACAAGGGCCTGGGGATTCAGAGATGAATGAGATCCACTGCCTGTTCTCAGGGAGCTCATGGTCTCTTCAGGAAAACAAATACAAAACGGCGAAATCGCATGATGGGAGCTATCACAAAGGTATATATATGAAGTGAGGACGTCATGCTTGGGTTGAATCCGGAGGAAGTACACGTTTGCAGGGAAGTCGTGGGGAGAAGTCCCAGGCAGGTGGGATGGCACATGCAGAAGCAAAGGGGCATCAGAGAGCACAGTGTCTCCATATCCTAGAAGCAGCTCGTGTGGTGTGGCTGGGCATAAAACATCAAGGGGCAGAGAGGGGCTAGGACTCCAGACAGATAGAGAGGGGCCAGGTGGTGAAGGCCTCTGTGTGCACACTCGGGAATTTGGGTTCTCCTTGCAACAGGAGGCCTGGGAGAGCTGGAGGCAAAGACAGGATTGGGGTGAGGTGCCGGGGCAAGACCGGCAGCAGGCAGGCAATTTCCAATGTGTTCACTGGAGCCCAGGGAAGCTGGCTGCATCTGCCTCTTGCTGCGAAGAGGGGGCTCTGGTTACAAGGTCGAGACTGGTCAGACCCCAAAACACAACGTCTCACAGCATTGGGAGGCTGAGTTCCATCAGCCAGTGTTACCTGTCCCGCAGCCTCACAGAAACTTCCATGTGGCCAGACCCCATAGGCCAAAGCAGAGGGACACCAGGGTATGTGTGCCCTTTGGCCCCAAGAGCGACAGCTGTGTTGCAGTCATAGTCAGGTTCTGCTGGGACCGAGGGCGGGTATCCCAGGTGGTGCTAGTGTCAAGCATAGCCCTATGCTTCCTTCCCTCGCTCTTCTCAAGGGTTGGGTCCTTCCTGTCCACTGGATGGGCATTTTATTAATCAGGAGTCATTGCAAGAGGCCTGGGGGCCTGACCGAGTCCAAGGTGGGCTCATGGACAGAGAGGCAGGGCGGGCACCACCTCCTCACATGACCCAGGAAGAGGGGAGGAGAGGCTGGGAGGTACCAGCGTACCAGCCTTGGGCCCCTGGATGGGGAGCTCACAGAGCATCCCGCTCCTGCTTCTCCCTGAGGGATTCAACACAGAGGCCTTGTGAGTGGTGGGGGTTGGGGGAAGACGGGCAGGGAGGGCCTTTCCTTCTCTCCCTCTGGGCAGCGCCATGATCCAAGTTCCTCAGGGACGGCCCTGTGGTGCCTATGGTACCAAATGCTGAGTTCAGGAATCGGGAAGCTGTCATGAGGTCACTGTACTTAGACATTCCTGGACAAGAGGAGCAGCCCTTCCAAGGGGTCCCAAAGCACAAGGGTCAGGGTCGGCCCAGTATTTCTGGCCAGGACTGTATAAGCCCCGTGGAGCCTGGCTTCTCCTTTAATAATGACAACAGGGGTGCCTGGGTGGCTCAGTCGTTAAGCATCTGCCTTCGGCTCAGGTCATGATCCCAGGGTCCCGGGACTGAGCCCCACATCGGGCGGCCTGCTCCGCGGGAAGCCTGCTTCTCCCTCTCCCACTCCCCCTGCTTGTGTTCCCTCTCTCGCTGTGTTTCTCTCTGTCAAATAAATAAAATCTTTAAAAAAATAATGACAATAATAATTAATATCTATTGAGAATACACTAGGCACCAGGCACTCTTATAAGTGCTTTACATTTATTAACTAATTTAATTCTTACAACTCTAGAAGGTCGTTAAAAAATGATCTTCACTTTAAGTCTTCCTATCAATAGCCACGATCATCTATGAATGTAAGGACTGGACAGCTTGCTCCAAGCCGTCACTGGTCGGGAGCTTCTGCCTTCCCTACAGCCCTGGCTGCACAGCTGTAGGATCGGGTGGGTGCTCCAGGCTGGTCTGGCACCTGGATGGTGCTGCGCCTGGAGCTGCTTCCCAGCTTGGGGCTGCCACGTAACTGCTGCTTATGCCGGGAGCAAAGCCAGCCCTGTGGTCAGTGCCATGCTGGCCACGTGAGTCGGACTTTTTAGCAACGTCAGCAGAAAGGGCACATAGTGAGCCCAGAGGCTGGCCATGAGTGGGGCGGCAGTCCGAAAATGTTGACCTCTAAACAGGGGACGTCCCCAGGGCCCAGTGGTGCACAGCGCCTCTGTGAGCCCCGCTCTCGGTACAGAGTCTCAACAGCTGGCTCGGCCTGAAAGCCCTGCCTATTAAAAGAACTACCTCTCTGGCATCAAGTATCCCCCAAAAGCTGCTTTGTGTGGCACAGAAGAAACAGAAAGTGGCTTAAAACGTAAACTTGGGGCATGATTGTGTCCAACGGTGAGCCCACCAACTCAATACAGGAGACAGAAAAGGGCAGTTGGAGATGTAGGAGGAAAGCAGGCTTGTTCTGGGAGCCAGCGGGAGCCAAGAGAGGGCAGGATCAAGGCAGAAGGGGCACAGAGTGAGGCTGCGGTCAGGAGCTCCTGGGTGGGTCACCACGGAGGGAGACTGAGGCCGGAGGGCATGGCTGTGAAGTCCGAGCTGGGCAGTGAAGCCTGAGGCCTGGGGCCACCTGCTCTCAGAGGCCACTGGGCCTTGAGGGAACACATTTTGGACAGTCTGGTTTTCCTTTCTGCTTCTCTCCTTCCCCTGGACATCCTTGTATGTTAAGTAACAACAATTACCAAAATTCACCTAGCATCCGTTAAGGGCAGACACTGCGTTAAACAAACACGCTACGTGACTTTCTCATTAAGTCTCAAGCTGCTCCATTTGGGAAAGTCTGTTACTGTGCTGTTACGGAGATGAATAATCTGAGGCTCAGAGAGGTTCAGAAACGTGCTCCAGGACACACAGCTCAGAAGTGGTAGAGCCGAAACAGGAGCCCAGTTGTCTGACTCTCGAGCTTGTGTCTTTCATACCACGGTCTCCTGGGTTCCCCCAGTGAAGAGACCTCATCCCTGGCTTTCAGGTAGTGGGTGGTGGCCTAGGGCTCCTACAGAATCCCTCCTGGGAGCCTGTTGGAAAATGAGCCAGCCTCCCATCTGTCCCCAAGAGCTGACCTCTAAGTCCCTGTAGTAATCCTGCTCTGGAAAATCATGAACTCCACGGGAGGTCAAAGGCAGAGCTGGGCACCGCCCTGCCAGTCCAATCGGGCCTGGCCCTCCCGCGGCCGACTTCCAGGGAGGCAGGACCAGAATATCCCCACTCTGCCTCCACAGCGGCAGCACACACACGGGCCTCCATTCGCTCTGGAAATCGGGCAATTTTTCACTTAGAACCATCTGAAAACAAACTTTATGCCTTCAAAATTATACATTCACAGAACATTTCTAGACTCTGGAATAGGATTAGGCGGTAATGATTTAATTGATGGTTAAGTGTGTAGATAAAATGAATGTGCTGAATCCTTTCTGTAATTATCTCTGCAAGGAGCCCTGGCCGTTGTAATTACTGTCTGAGGCCGAAATCACAAACCAGCTGTAGTTTTAAGCAAAATGTGTTGATGCCCCTGCCAGACGGAGTGAAAGTCAGTCACAAGCAGCATGGGGCCCCCAAGGACTCATCAAAGGGGGCACAGCCCTTGCAGAGAGAGGCTCGTCCCCCAAACCTGGGGAATGTGTTCTCACAACTGCTTTGCACTCCCGGCCCTGACCGTCACTCCAGTGCTGTCCACACCCTGTTGGGGGCCAATACACCAAATTGGGTTTTAAATCCAGGTCTGGATTAAGCAAAATGGCTGTCTCCACTGATCAAATGAGTCCAGTCATGACCTTTGCTTTGCGGAAGCTAAGCTCCTGCCGGGATAATTATGCTCAATTCACGTATTCATTCAACCAGCACAGAATTGTGGAGTGCCTCCTACAGGCCAGGTGCTGCGTGAAGGACTGGGTATTCGCAGGCGAACAGAGCAGATAGGGCTCCTGCAGGGTTGGACCCTGCTGCTTAAGTTATCTTTGACATGGGCAGGAACCTGCTAAAGATCTCACACATCTGGACCAGCATGTGGAGATGAGGCTGGGGACAAGACAGTATCAGGAAGGGGTGGATGTGCTGGAGCTGACGGAAGGCCCAGAAGCTGCTGCTTGCCGCAGAGCCTGTTGGAGGCAATAGGCTTGGTTGTCAGGCCTCTGGTGTCTGCAGTCTCTGGCATGCATTCAGCACTTACCGGGATGCCCACCATGTGCACAGGTTCTGCTCCTCTCTGGTTCATTCCTTCGGCCCTCAAACTATGGATCCCATACCTGATCGTTGCTGTGCAGGACTCTAACTAGATGTGAACAGGGCAGAACCCAGCAAAAGGGAATGCTTACCCTAAGTGTTATCAAACAATCTGACTACTTACTTGTGTCTATGTCCTTAGACTCTAAAGCCCAGGGGGAATGGGGCTAGAATTTCCCCCACCTTATCTCTAGTGCAGAATGCCTGGCACCTGCTCAGAAATATCTGGTTTATCAATGAAAATAAATCATCACATGCTAGGGAGGAAGGAGGCAGACAGGACTGGTACACTCTACTACCGGAGGGAAGTCAAAGGTTCCCATTCTCTCTTTCTCTCTCCACTTTTCCTCACTAGTCTGTGCTCCTGGAAAGAAAGTGCCATGTGTTTTTATTGCTGAATCTTCAGTGTCTAGACATTGCGTAGTACAGAGTGACCCTAAATAAGTGTTTATTGAGTAAGAGCATCAGTAAAGCTATCAGAGCGCTGAAAGGTTACCTGCACTGACGCCGATGGCCAGGGGAGGGCAGCAAGGGCAGCAGAGCTGATGGCAGATGCCCAGGAGAGGGAGGTTTGCTCTTTGGGGATCGCTGGGCATTGAGGCAAAAGTCCTATTATTCATGTGAATATTTGGGGACACTTGGAGGCACCAGGACAGGAGAACATTGCCGACAGAAGTCCAATGAAGCCCAGCGTCCTAAAGGAGGGAGACCAATTTGAGCGGGTGGCTAGAGAGGCTAGGGACCAGTGCCAGAGTAGAGTGTGTGCACCGAGGGGCTGATGTGCAGGATCCCAAGGGAAGTAGTCTAGAGTCACAGGGCTGGCAGCACAAGCCCCATACAGAACAGCTCCCAAAGCTCAGACTTACTCTTGGGGCTCTGGTTCTTAAAGTGACAAGTGTCCTGAAAGTCAGGCCTGATACCACCCCGCCCATCCTGCTTTGGGCTCAGGAGCAGTAGGAGGAGAAGGCCAAGACCAGACCGGGCTGTGTGGAGGGATGCTCCCAAGGGCCCCCACAGGTGTTGGAACTGGCAGATCGCCAGATTGTTGGAAGCGCTCCTCATCTCAGTCCATTTTCCCTGGTGCACAGCGTGCTGACGGCACGTGCAGAGATGTGACAGGAAGCAGGTGGGGCGCCGGCCACAGCTGCCTGCCAGGACTGCCTCTCACCTGGAGAGGTTCTCAGTGGGGGCTGCTGGTCTGGCAAACACAGGCTGCAGACTTGATTTGCTGTCCTGTGGTGCCCATGTTGGCTAGAAAATGCTTTGTTTCCAGGAGGACAATGGAGCCCAGAGCTGTTGTGGGCGGACCTCAGGGGAATGGAGGGATTCGCAGCTGGAAGGTTAGAGAGACATCGCTAGGGGCCAAGGAGATGGTGTTTCCTGGCAGTATGAAGGGAATCTGCCTGAGGGTGGAAAACAGTGTCCTTCAAATCAAGGGAAGCCCTCTGTACCTCAGTGGGTGTGACATGGCCAGCTAACCCAAGTGGGAGGTAGGACACATGTCCCTTCAGGGTGCTCTGAGTGTCAGGAGCTTTGGGAGGTCCTTAGCCCAGGAGAATATGAAGAGGCACATAACCTCAGGTTTTTTGACCAAAGCCTCCGTGGGGGCAAATTTGCTCCATGATGCTTCCAAGTGTCCCAGTTGTGAAAAACAAGCGGCCCTGGGTCAAGTCCATGCTTCCTTGAAGAAGCCCAGCTCCCCAGTGGAGACAGAAGATCTGATTTCTAAGTACCAGTCTGGTGCGGGCCTCGGGAAGTGGTGAGACAAGCAGGGTCTAGAGAGTGGAATTGCAGTGGGGAGGCAGAAGGATGAGGATTGTGTGAGGTGGTGAGAGAGAGACCAGGTAGTAAGACAAAGGCAAGAGCGCACCTTCCCTACGGTGTTCTTTTCAGCCTTTGTCCATGTCCATGTAAAACGTCAGTAGGCATGTCTTCCTCTGAGTCCTTCCCTTCCTATCATTTGTGACTGCACAGTCAGAAAGCATTGTGAAGAGCTTTCTGAATATATGGAGTCTATCTAGGCTCCCAGCAATTGAAAATGCCTATTTTTTTCTTCTGAGTCTTTGAAAATCTTCATTTGAAAGCTGATGATAGAATCTGACCATATCCCAACATGATCTCTTTCACTACCATGATCTCAATGATGATACAGTAATTTTCCCCAAGGGCCTAATTACTTCTACTTTGCCAAAGAGTTCTTGTTTTTCTACATGTTTTCTTTCTTTCTTCTCTTTCTTACTTTCATATACATTTTTTCTGACCTGAACTCACTGTCTACATTTATGAGATAGATGAAGCACCCTGTTAATTACCTGCCCAGCACCCACTCCTCCCTAATTTCCTCCATCCTAAGTGAACCTTGAATTTGCCAGGTTTCCATTTCTCCCCACACACCTATGCATCTCCCAGGAAGAGGATCCATCTCTGGAGTTGGATCTGTTTGGCCCACATAACCCCATTCCTTTTGCCAGTGACGGGTTCAAAAATTGGCATCTTCTGGCCGATGGCATGTAAGGGGAAAGTCTGTTGAGGGCTCGAGAAATTCTTTCCTTGCTCCCAACAGAAATCAAGAAGAAGTGCATTCTCCTCTGGTTATTTTTATGTCTGGACACAAGGCCTAGAGCTGCATCCATCTTGCCACCAACCTGAAGATGGACCAAAGAGGGAAGATGGCACAGCAGCCTGGAAAGATCCAGAGTTCCTGACCTTGTCATTAACCACCGTAGGGAATCTACAATCCCTGAGCCCTGTCCAACTCTAACTCCTCAGGCAGATGATACATTTCTCATTGTTTAATTCAGTTGGTGGCAGGATCTTGTTCTTCACCTCCAAAGTCTTCTGATACATCTTGCCAGCAAAGCAACTCAAGGGCTTGTCAGATCCTCTTGTTTTTAACCAAAGAAGACTTCCAGGACCTGTCTCCTTGGTGGGTTTCTCCTTCATGATGAAATTCTGCCTCTGCACTAGTGCTACGATTTGTTTCAGGAAAGCGCTGCCCCTCTGCCTGTGATCGCCCCTTGGTGGGGTCACCCTGCTAAGCCCCAAGTGTATCATTCTCGATGAGTTTTCTGCCTCAGGTACATGGCTTTCCTTTCCACACCAACCTGCCCGTTTCTAAGTGGTCTGCTGACGTGCCTGCGAGTCCACAGACTTTGCACTGGGTTATTGTGCTTGTTCTCTGTGTGGGATACATTAGAATGCTGGTCACTTACGGCTGGGCTTCTGATCTTAGCTTCCGTGTATCGCTGACACCCCTGGTCCCAAAACTCTTTTTTCCACATCCTACTTAATATCATCCATAGGGACTAGTCTGGTGTATTACCTGTTTTGTCGTGTTATTTCTCTTTTCCTCCTGGTATTCACTTTTAAATCCTCTTGATGGGATTAGCTAATCAACCGCTAGTTCCCCCATGTCTTTATAAGATCTGCATTCTTGGCTGAAAATGATTTCTTCTGGTATGTTAAGCCATGGTTCAGAACCTTACCAAAACATCAGCCTGATTTTGTGAGGCAACCGTTGATCATCTTCGAGGCATTCCTTCTAGAGTTCCAAAGGACAAGGGGAAGAAGTAAGGAAAACACCACTTACGTTCTCAAGTCTTTCATTTTCCCACCCTAAAACCATTATCTCTGAAGATGTATCCATGTTTGTTCCTAGTGGGTTGTCTATGGTTCACGAGAAACAGTAAATTTGACCAGTCTCAGCTGACTCTTTATTACACCTTATTGACCATCAGGAGGTCATCCTGCCATCACATCTTCCGGGTCCATCCGCAGCTGCCTCACGACAGGGAGTCACCAACCAGGGTCTTTTTAAGCTTCCCTCCACGCAGTTTTCTTCACACTCAAGTTCTTGGGGTTTCTCCTTCATCTGCGCTTCTCTTCCAGAAACTGTGGCTTCCTCTCAATGGGATAGATCTCATTTCTCTTGGGCATTGTTCTACTCATTCTAGCTTCTTTTCTATTGAGGGAGATTTCCACCATCTTCAGATTTCATCTTGAGCACCGCTAGGCTGTGGCAAACTATGTGACAACAAATGGAGTGGCCCAAATCCAATATCCGCCAAATGTACTTCTGGGCAGCCCCAAGTCCATAGATGTTCTGCTAAGTCTTTGGGTTGCAAGGAATAAAGGCTCACTCAAGGTAGCTCAATAAAAAGGTTTAGCTAGGGATGGTGGTGGTGATTTATCATGAAAACACTCACGGGGCAATAGTGGAAATGGATTCTCACAGAAGATCAAGAGCAGGAACCCTGGTAGGCGTAGGTCCTATGACCAATTGAGCAGGTGTTTTGGGTCCAAGGTAACTCCTAGAACCTCTGCATCACAACTTCTGGATCTTGACTCTACTCCACTATTAACTGAATTCAGCTGTGTTCTGTTCTCTTTTTACTGACTGGCTTCTTCATCTTCTATTGAGCATATATTTCTACTCACTACAGTTTCAGCATACTTAGAATGTGGTTTTTCTGTGGCCAACCAAGACCTCTAAAGCCTCTCTCTATTTCATAGTCCTGCTGATGCCTCATTTTCTTGACATATGCAGGGTCACTGGCGGTATCTAATGGATCCAACCCACTTTAGGGTATCATGAAACCATGTCGTATGTTACTGGGCAGCCCATAGACTGGCTGCTGGGAGCATGTGCCCTTCTTGACCCAATAACCCCATACATTTTATAAACCATGGTGATTAGGACTGCTTCTTCAACAGATGGTAGGGGTGGAGCTGTGTGTGCATGCAGGGGCGGCTAAGATGGGGCAGGCACCATGAGTTACATACTCAGTGCAATTCCCTTGCAGGGCTCTGCCTCCCAGCTGCTCTGTGTCCCACCCTTGCTTCATTTTCCTGACCTCCAACCTTGAAGTCTGTCTGATCAGCCTCTCCAGTCTCAGCTTACAGCTCCACCTCTCGCCTCCTAGCCTGTCTTCTGACTTAGTGTTGCTTGATTGAAGCTCCTGTGGCTTGGTCAGGGGGTACACTCCCATCAAACGTTTCCATGGCAGCCTTGCTAGGGACGACCCAGCATTCCTGAGCCCTGGCCTCCCCAATGGCATCAGCATAGGCTACTTGAGATCAAACATGCTCCTCTCTATCAGCCCACACTCAGCTCCAACACTGGCTCCCCCTAGCCTCCTTCTTGTTTTCTGGAACAGAGGAATCTCCCCAGAAGGTTAAATTCACATTCTAGGTGAAGGTTTCACACCATTAGGAAACACCAGTGATAGAGTGACCTCTCCTCTTCTATGGTGTGCGTGCCTCAGTGCCTCCACTTGCTGGTGGGATTTCTTCCATTCTCTCCTGCAACACTGTCTTCTCTGTTAAGCTGGGTTTTTAGGAACATTTTTCAGACTGTTTCATCTCTTCCAATGTCTTAGCATTTGTTTGATTAAGGCCCAAAGGACACAGTGAGTGTTTGTATTCTGAGTTGTGAGGGGCAGCCTCTGGCATCAACTTTGAGCCCTTTAGGACTTTAGAATAAATGCTCAAAGACTGTCCACAGTAGGACCTGCTGGAAGTGAATGGAGGTGGGGGCTGTGAATTAGAGCCAGGAGGAGAGGACTTAGCAGGAAGAAACTTCTGCGTCAGGGCTGATGCTGAAATGAGAGATGAGGACTAGGCAGAGGTGTGGCATGCCTATTCAACTGTCAGGGGTAGGACGTGGCAGGTGCATGGGAGTACAGGGTGCAGTTGA